GTATCCAGGGAGAGCCAACTTCTGGCTCTTACCTGGCACCGGGAGCAAGAATGAGCTTATGAGGGATGAGACAGGCTGGGGTGGGGTCTAGCACCTGTGGCAGCCTCATCCCTCTCTCCTGGCCCTGGCTCAGCCCATTCCAAAAGCCATTCAGTCTAACAGGGAACAATTGTGTGGCCCCCCTAGGGGTCCCAGACAGAGGCTTAGAGAGCTACATCAGTATTGGGGAGGTCCTCCGTCCACCATGCAGCTGCTTCTGACAGCTCAGGAAGATGTCAACAGGGACCCGATCCAACCCAAGGGGGATGGACAGTGCCAGTGAGGTCTGAGGTCTGATTTTGTTTAGAAGCTGTGCATATTGGGTGGACGTTTCTTGGAAGAAGAATGGGTATTTCTAGTGACTGTGTCCTGCAGGATCAGTGGAGGCCAGGCCAGCACAAGGCTTGTGTTCTTGGGAAAGGGCTACTTGCAGAATACCCTAACCAAAGGGCTGACACTGACATGCAGGTGCCGTTTTCCTGCCTCAAACAGGCTGCAGAGTGAGACTGGCATCGCTCACCGGGGTAATTACTGGTTTGGGTTCGATTTCCATTCAAAACAGTAATCCCAGCCTGAGCTAGTGTCAGATCTGAAGGTTGATTATTAGTAACATTTATCAACAGCCTCTCAGCTTCAGGCAATTACAGCTAATCTGCCATTCCTTCTCCCATCCTGCAAAACTGCCAGCCTCTTCCCCGCCCGCCCCCTCCACTCCCCTCCCCTCCACTCTCCTTAGCAGCCAGCCTGAGAGAGGCCAAGAGATGGGGGCCACCTCTGAGTCACTGTCACTCCCGAATGTAGGGGACCCATGTATGTGCCTGACATCTGTGCTCCCTGAGAGCAATCTTCATGCTGCAGACTCTTGTAAAAGCTGAATCTGGCTCTATCAGAGCTGAGAGGAATCCCTGCAGTTTAGTGAACCCATGTCTCCTGGTGACTTGTCACATGGTGATGTTTTCAGTAGGGTCTCTCCTCCCTTCCAGGCCCCAGACTAGGGTGAGGCACTGAGGCCTTTACCACAGATAATATCTTAACACAATGATTTTTAAAAACCAAAAGGAATGCAAAAACATCCATAGTGAACAAAATAAAAATTTTAGTAAAGACAGAATCCAGTGAGTTCCCAGGCAGTCCGGTGACTGGGATCCCAAGCTTCCACTGCATGGGGCTTGGGTTCAATCCTTAGTTGCAGAACTAAGACTTCACGGGCTGCACAGCCAATTAAAAAAAAAAAAAATGACAGGATCTAACCATGGATAGCAGGACTTGGCCTCACTTGCCTCACTCTAATTCCAGCTTTATAGGACCCTGTCTTTGTTTACAATTGTGATATTTTATCCAGGATATTTTTGCATTCATTTTGATTTAAATATAATTTATCTTGATCACTGGGTTTGGGGGCACCTTCTTAAATTTTGGACCCCAGGTGAGTGCCTCCTTCAGCTCACCCCACCTCCTGGCCCTGCTCTCCCACTTCCTGTTGGGCCCCCCACCCCTGCTCCCTTCAGTTCTCACTGTCCACTGCTTCAGGTAGGGGAGGTTTCAACTTACCTCTGAGTGGGAGCCCCTACCATGGGCCATCCTTCCTGGTGCCCTGCCTCCACTCCATCCCTCTGGACCCTGCTTCAGCCTTCAGGCATCACAAAGAGTGCCTCGAAGTTGCCATGGTAACTGCTGTGGTAACTGCAGGACAGAACGCTGCTGGTCTTGCCCCACTCTTATAATCCTGTCCAAGCAGGGACAGATAAGTGCAGACATGCCTAACAATGTCCCTGATGCATCAGTCTCAAAAGAAGTTAAAAACATTGCTGGACGTGTTTGGAGAGAATAACTCCTCCCCGGGCAGGAGTGGGTTAAGAAAGGCATGTGGCTAAAGGAAGACTGTGATGAGCTGTTTGTGACAGGAAAACATGGATACTGGCCAACCAGCCTTCTGCAGGGGGCAGATCGAATTCACTGAAGGGCTTTTGTTTTGCTGAACAGGGCCTCTGAGCCCAGGGACACTTGTCCCCACTGCCCAACACTCCAGCTGTGCACAGCTTGTCTAAGCGCTAAATAAATGTTTCAGAAAGATCAATGTTGAAGGGCTGGCCAGGACACCAAATTGTATCTGGACTTGAGGCAGTCATGTCATGGTCCAGACCTAGGTGGCTTGACCACTCAGTGTCCTGATGCTGTCCCAGTGGGAGGTCTGAGGGTCCCAGATGAAATGCATGGGAAGCACTCCCACCCATGCCGTTCTGCTGCAGCAGGTCCCAGCTGAGGCTCCCTAGCCCTGCTGAGCTGCACGCTCTCCAGTCCCCCAGTCTGGCAGTTGGTCACCCCATGCCTGCTCTTCTACTTACTGGGCAAGTCACTTCCCCTCTGAGCCTCAGTTTCCTCTCCTGGGAAGCAATCAATGACAGCGCCCTCCTTTCAGGGATGTGGTCACCAGTAAAAGAGCTAATGTATATAAAAGAGGTCAGAAATGGCCAAGTACTGAGATGGATGTTCTGTGGGGCTCTGCTGGACAGAAGGAGAATCACGGGGAAGTGTGTCTGGGCTTAAAGGGAAGAAGAAATTGCTGACTGCAGGAGGAGGGACTGCTCTGGAAAGAATGAGCATCCTGATGCTGGAGGCACCCATGGAGGTTTTATAATTCCATGTCGGTCAGCTTAGCTTCCAAAGGGCTTCCGGCCCTAGGAGGTGTGACCCTAGAGGGATGCAGTCTATCCAGCCCCGAGGTTCCATGACTCCTTTTGTCCGTCCTTCCCCAGTCCTCTCCCAGGGGGTTGTGCCGCTGGGCCCCACAGCCAGCCATAAAGTGAGAATGGCCTCCTTGGAGAAAGCTGGCTTCACTTACAGTTGATAAGGTTTTTCCTGGTCCACATTCCTATGGGCCAATGTATAAACCTGAGAGCTTGGGCAGGAGGGGGGGCCACCATGGATGCTGTGCTTGGGAAAGTGCTGGCCTGAGCCTCAGCTTTGAGATGCCCTTTGACTCTAGCTGCAAAGTTGCATTCTGCCTGAATCAGGACAGAAGACATCTGAAAGAAGTTCCTGAGATGTGGAGGGATGTGGTTTCTGGTTCCAGGTGGCCACACACGTATACTCGCCCTCCTGGAAGTTGCTGTGTGCAGCATGTCTGCACACTACACTTGTGCTGCCTTCCTGCACTGGCTTTGGAGCTTCGAGGCATGTGTCAAAGTGGAGAGAGCAGCAGACTGAGAGTTGGGGAACCCAGCTCTGACCCCTCCTCCCACTGAGCCATCAGTGATACAATGGGCAGGGTATGAGATGCCGTCTCAGTTGACAATCTGTCTTCTATTCTCGGGGGGCCATCAGAGTTGATAGAATGGACTCATCTTTGCACTTTCCTCCTGGGCCACTCACAGTCTCCCCACAAGTCTTTCTCTGTCTGTTTGGCAGACCTAGGGGCCAAGGGCTCCAGGGTCCCATCAGAAGTGCCTGGTTTTGCAACTAGGCATCATTTCCTGCTCAGGAATTTGAAATTGAAGCCCAACGATTCCTAATACTATCCTAAGCTCTCATTGAAAATCTGAGTATAATTTTTACAAGAGTGTGGCTGAGGATGGATAAGAAAGGGAACAAGTCGAGCTGAAGGTGACGTGAGCAGGAGGCAGAGAGAAGCCTGGGAGTGGAGGAGGTTAGAGGGGCCGGCAGGACTCGGACAGAGGGAATCAGCTTAGATTCTGCCCTGAGGCAGAATGTGGTGCTTCTGAGGGGTTTACGCAGGACCAGGAGGCATGATCAGACTTGCATTTAGAATGCTCACTCTTCAGGAGGGAACTAAGATGGCGGAGGAATAGGACGGGGCGACCATTTTCTCCCCTACAAATTCATCAAAAGAACATTTGAACGCTGAGCAAACTCCACAAAACAACTTCTGATTGCTAACAGAGGACTTCAGACACCCAGAAAAGCAGCCCATTGTCTTCGAAAGGAGGTAGGACCAAATATAAAAGCTAAAAAGAGAGACAAAAGAGTTAGGGACAGAGACCTGTCCCGGGAAGGGAGTCTTAATAGAGGAAGTTTCCAAACACCAGGAAACCCTCTCACTGGCGGGTCTGGGGGACATTTTCGAATCTCGGAGGGCAACCTAACTGGGAGGAAAAATAAATAAAACCCACAGATTAGAATGCTCACTCTGGTGCTAGTTGGAGGATGGATTTGAGAGAAGTTGGAAGCAGATGCCATCCTGATGCCTAGATCTGGGCAGCAGACGAGGAGGCCTTACAGAGGATGGGGGTCCAGGCAAGGGGGAATGGGGAACTGAGTGATACTGGGTCAGTAACCTCAGAAGGGCTTGATGCTTGTCTGCATTGGTCGAGGAATGTGGACAGGGAAAAGAGGAAGCGATGACCGCACCTGGGGGGCTGGATGTGTCACTCACAGAGAGAACATATAGAACAAGTGCTCAGAGTCACAGGAAGTCGCAAGCTGTGTACCTCAGTGTGAGGTTTTGCAGGACATCCAGGGGGATGTGTCCAGAGAGCAAGTAGACGAAAGGGTTTGGAGCTTAGGAGGAGGTGAACCCATGATGCAGGCATGGATGTTCTTTATGGCAGGGCGGTGGGACTTGAAGCCCTGTGAGGGGATAAGATCACTCGGTACACTCTAGGTGGAGTGAGAGGACAAGAGGCTGAGGACACAGACTAGGAAACTTAGATCCCCCAGCAGTTCCTCAAAGGCACACTGTGTGTGTCCCATAGCAGGGTCTGCCACTGACCCCTAGGCCAGGGCTGACCACAGAGAGGACATCAGTGAATGTGTCTGACTGTGGTTCCCCCAGATGAGGTCTTTGTCCTTAATGTACCTGGATCTGCCAGAGTTGCCATAGTAACCACAAATGCAGGGATACATGGTCTCTGTGTTGTCATGGAAACAAACACTTGCATGTCTGTCAGTGGCACGGCCACTGAGAACTTGAGGATTCAGTCTGCCCTGAAGGGTTTGGGAGGGAGACCAGCAGAGAGGGTTTCCATGTCCTAATGAATCAGTGATGGCGGCTGTTAGCCTGACTGTTGCCACGGTGATGGAGAAAGACACCCAGGTGACTGGTGCTAGCTTCAGTACTGAGCTGGTGAGATAAAGCATTGCAACGGGCTCCAGGTCTTTGTGTGCAGCCTGAACAGGACCAGACCTCAAACTCACCCCACCCTCTGGCTGCCATGGGGACCAGGACCTCTTTGCTTTCTCTTTGGGTTTGCACCCTTTTGCCAAGACAGGGATTTTGTTCCCAGGAGGCACTCCCCGGCCCATGGGATCTCAGCATTCAAAGCAACACAGGAAATCTGGGCCCCTGAAACGGGGCCACCGAAGAGATGGGTAAGCACGCAACACCCTCTCCTTTAGCCCATGGACCCCCACCCTGTGTCCACGGCCCCCATCATGACTTCCTCCCTTTCAGTCCCAAGGCCCTCCCTTCCCCCACCACGTGGGTTCCCATGGCTCTTCCCTCCCAAAATCTCAGGCTCTGGACAGGTCAATGGGCACCTTTGCGCCTCTGCTCACCCAAATCTCAGGGGAATCCTCCACCACGGGTGTGAGGCCTCTGCTCCTGCCCTCTGCCTCCACTGCGGCCTCCACCCCGCCCCCGGGCTCCACTCCGCTGACTTTGGTCATTATCGCCCTCCTTCTGGGCTGCCTGCCTGCTGTCCCGGGCCCCACAGAGCCAGCACCTGCCGGAAGTCCCTCCAGCTGATCCCACTTAACTCCCACCGGAAGCAGCTGGGACTGAGGCCCTGGAGGAGGCCTTGATGAGTGCCCAGTCTGGCCAGGTCAGGGGCAGGAATGACGAGGTGAAGTACAAGGCCGTGGAGTCACCCCTGCTTTTTGTCCTCAGGCGAACAACCAGGAGGAAGTACTGGAAGGAAGGAAGGGAGATCGCTCGGTGAGCTGGCAGGGGAGGAGGGAGTGTTGGCTGGGGAGAGGCCCCCGGCAGAAGCCTGTGCGGGGAGGGTGTGGGCAGGGGAGGGCAGCTCTGTGGCCGTGGACCCCATTTGTGCTGGGCTCCGTGCGTGGGAAATGAAGTCCGGAGGAAGGTGTGACCCCGAAGGGAAGTGTGCCCTCTGTGGCTGTCGTGGCCTTGATTTATTCCTCCTGGAGATAAAAGGACCCTCCTGTGGTCCTTTTGCCCAACTCCAGCCTGGTGATGCTGCTGAGAGGGTCCAGGGTCCTGAGCTACACTCCCCAGCCTGTCCTGGGTCACTCGGCCAGGCGTTCTCAGACCCACACTATCCCTGCCCTAGGCTGGCGTCCCCAAGGCCTGTCTTCACAGTCCGGAGATGGGTCTTTTCTAGGACTCCTGACCAGAGCCTCCTCTGTGCTTTGCTGATGGCAGGGCCCCTGGAATATATCTCCTAGCCCAGAGGACAGGCAGGAACAGCTGCCTGTGAAGGAGGGAGCTTGCCTCAGAGGTGAGGCCAGATGTGGGATCCCCTTCCCAAGTGCGATGTGGCTGCTGAGGGTTCCCGGAACCTGCAGAATGCATCTGGTCTTCCAGGGACCAGGCCAGAGACATAGAGGGGCATTTGGGGCTCTGGTTTGCACCCTCTGGGATGTTGGTCCTGGTACTGATGAGGTCTCTGATGAGCTGTCCTCAAAGAGCTCTGTGGAGAACCATGGGTCTATGGCCCTCTGTCCTCCTCTTCTGCACACGGCCTAAAACCAGGTTGGCTTTTTAGCATAAAGAAAATCTCATGAAGAGAAAGGTGGGAGGCAGGGGAGGAGACGTGGTCCCTTGAGCCTACTTCAGAGGTTTCTGGGGGTGGGGGAGGAGGAGGGGTGTAGGGATTGAACCCCAGGGGGCAGACTCTGCTGTATGACGCAAATGAGGTTCAAGGACTTCAGCTCATTTGTCTTCCGCAGCTGGTGCATTTTGAGTGATGTGAGCTGAAGAGGCCCCCTCTGGCACCCACCACCCATACACTGTCAAGGCCACAAGAACCTCTGAGATCACCCTTTGATTAACAGCAAAACGGAGGCCTCAGGGCAGGGTCACACTGCAAGTTGACAGCAGAATCAGGACTAGAACCCAGGCGCCCTGCTCATGGGTCTTTCTCTGCACTGCAGGCCTGGGAGCCAGCCTCACTGTGTAGCAGTCAAGAGGCCTGCTAGGAGTGAGTGGCCTTTGGTTATGACCTTTCCTCCTGTGAATGGAGGCCCTGAGCTTACTGTGGGCTGTATATCCACAGCGGATGCCTGGCTGGCAGGGACTCCTGGCCATACCAGGTTTCTGGGATGACTCTTTCTGGGGTTAGGTACCTCGTTACTTTACCCAGGGCCTCCTCCCACCACCACTACTCTGGCTGTTTCGTGTTGAAAGCCTCTGCCAGTATCCATTTAAAGCTGTGTTATTCAAGATGGTGCCAACAAGCATGACATTTTGCTCCCAATAGCCAGTCCTGTATGGGCTCGCGGGGTGGTGAGTACATGGATGAGGGAGCCAGGCAGTCTCAGTGTTAAGGCTGAGTTCTGGGATGTATCTCTGCAAGTTGGCAATAGTCTTAATTGATGATAAAGTTTGATGGTCCAGCCATGGAAGGACATAGCCAGAATAAAGGTATCTTGTCACAGTGTTTTTATTGCAGGTTCTCCCAGTCATCCTGGGAGCTTCCACGTCCCTGAGGACATTCCTCCATACCCTAGCCTCAGAGTTTCTTGTTTTCCTCAACTCATTGACTGTCACCTTTACTTCAGTCACCCATTACTGGGATCTTACCGTCATGTAAAACTGTTCCATCTCCAAAGTTTTAATCTCTCTGTACCTCCGAGGCATTGGCTCCCTTTGCTCCACTGTATCAGTTCACAGAGACCTTCAGGCTCCCGCCTCCTAGTTTTTTTCCTGGCCCTGAATCCACCCTTGTTCCTATCCAGTCTGGACCCTATGACCTTGCTTCAGCTGTTTACCAGTCACCACCTGGCCCCTTAGTCTCCCACACCACCCCTGGAACATGGTAACTGACTGGGTCTTCTTTAGTCTTGACTTAAAAGGAACGGGGGCGGGTGGGAATCCCTTCATGAATGGACACTAGTCCAAATTCACGGTCCATAGCCTCACCTGAGCCCCCAGCAGTCCTCCGGCCTAGGCCACTGCAGTGCCCCCTCGGCTGTTTCTAAGCTCTCGCATAATCCCTCTACTTGTCTGTACCACAGTTTCCCCTCTTGCTCCTAGCAGTCACCCGAGGCTCTCTCTTTATAAAGAAAATCTGCCAGGAAGACATTTCTTTTCTTTTTTTTTTTAAAACTTTTTATTTCATATTGGCGTGTAGCTGATTAACAGTGTTGTGATAATTTCAGGTGAACACAAAGGGACTCAGCCATACATATACCTGGATCCATTCTGCCTGCCCCCAACCCCACCCCCAGGAAGAAATTTATTTAACCTCTGCTCTGGGCAACATTCCTGCATCCATGCCTATCCATACCTCTGGCCCCCATCACACTGGGAGATGGGTGTTCCTCTTCCAGTTAGCCTCTCCACAAGAGATCTGGGGACCCTCCACCTTGCCTCTCCATCCAAGTTCCCCCCTCTGTTGCTCATTCCTTCTCTCCTCTCCTGGCTCCTTCATTTGTAACTCAGTTAAGAAATGAAACAGAAGTACTTTGACTTTATAGCCTCCTCTCTCTCCTGCCCTCTCAGCCAAGCCTATTAAAATCAAAGTAAGTGTTTATTATCTCCACTTCCCCACCTGCTGCTGAGTCTTTAATCCACTACAACCTGGCTTCTGCCCCCATTTCACCACCTGAGCTGCTCATCCTGTGTCTCCAGTGGGTCTTGCTGTAAATCCTCCTGAAGCCTTTCAGTGCCTAGTTGACCTCTCAGCTGCATCTGATAGAACGGAGCGCGCTCTGCCTTCAGAAGCTCTCTTCCTTGCATTCCATGACCACACACTCTCCTTTTCCGCCTGCCATCCTGATCATTTCTCAGTTTTCTTCATGAGATCATCTTCTTCCATTCATCCTGAAAATGCTGATGTGGTCCAGGAGTCTGTCCTGGTCTCTTTTCTCCCATAAACTTGTTCCTGGTGGTCTCATGAATTACCCTGGCTTCAACCTCATCTCTCACTGGTGACTAGAGCTGCTCCTCAGACCTTTCTCCTTAATTTTACTTTTTCTTTTTAGTTCTATAAGTTTTTGCTTCATGTGTATTGAAGCTTTCTTTATAGGTACATAAACATTTAAGATTGCTATGTCATCTCAAGAACTTAACCCCTTCATCAGTAAGAAATGTCCTTCTTTACCTATGGCAGTACTTCTTGTTCTGAAGTTCCATTGCTGCTACTGCTAAGTCACTTCAGTTGTGTCCGACTCTGTGCGACCCCATCCCTGGGATTCTTCAGGCAAGAACACTGGAGTGGGTTGCCATTTCCTTCTCCAGTGCATAAAAGTGAAAAGTGAAAGTGAAGTCGCTCAGTCATGTCTGACTCTTCTCGACCCCGTGGACTGCAGCCTACCAGGCTCCTCCGTCCATGGGATTTTCCAGGCAAGAGTACTGGAGTGGGTTGCCGTTGCCTTCTCCATTGATCTGATGTTAATTTAGTCACTCCAGCTTTCTGTTGATTAGCATTTGCATGGTGTATCATTTTCCATCCTTTTATTTTTAATCTCTCTGACTTTAAAGTGGGTTTCTTTTAGGAATCATATCATTGTGCCATTTTTATCCACTCTGACAAATTTGAATTTTTAATTGGAATATTTAGAACATTTACATTTACTGTTATCATAATATGGTTGAATTTAAACCTACCATCTTGCTGTCAGTGTTCTATTTGTCACACTTGTTCTTTTTTCTTCTTTTCCTACTTTCTTTGAGATTCGCTGTCTCTCATGATTCGATTTTATCTCTCTTCTTAGCTTATTGTAACACATTTTTGTTTTTCTTAGTGGTTGCTCTGTTGCTGTTCAGTCAGTCGTGTCTGACTCTTTGCGACCCCACAGACTGCAGCACGCCAGACCTCCCTGTCCTCCTCTGTCTCCCGGAGTTTCTCACACTCATGTTCATTGAGTCAGTGATGCTATCCAACCATCTCATCCTCCACCTCCCCCTTCTCCTCCTGACTTCAGTTTTTCCCAGCATCAGGGGCTTTTCCAGTGAGTTGGCTCTTTGCATCAGGTGGCCAGAGTATTGGAGTTTCGGCTTCAGCATCAGTCCTTCCAATGAACACTCAGGACTGATCTTTAGGATGGACTGGTTGGATCTCCTTGCAGTCCAAGGGACTCTCAGGAGTCTTCTCCAGCACCACAGTTTGAAAGCATCAGTTCTTCAGTGTTCAGCCTTCCTTGTGGTCCACCTCTCACATCCCTAAGTGGCTACTGGAAAAAGCATAACTTTGAGTAAACTGACCTTTGTTGGCAAAGTGATATCTCCGCTTTTTAATATCCTGTCTAGGTTTGTCATAGCTTTCCTTCAAAGGAGAAAGCTTGCTCTAGGGTTTACAATATACACCTTGTACTTGCCATAGTTTACCTTAAAATGTTATAGTACTTCACGAATATCATAAGAAACTTACAACAGTATACTTCAGTTCCCCCTTCTTGTCTTTTGAGCTGTTGTTGTCATGCATTTTTCTTTTACTTATAAACCCAACTATCAGTTTATTATTTTTGCTTTAAACCATGAATTATCTTTAAAAAACAACTTTGGGGGGATATAACTTACATACCATATAATTCACCTGTTTATAGTATACAATTCAATGTGTTTTAATTGTGCAACCAACACTACAATCAATTTTAGAATATTTTCGTTTACCCCATCTCCCCAAAAAAACTCATTCCCATTAGTAGTCATTTCTCTCTCCTCTACCCACCCCTAGCCTTGCACAACTGCTGATCTACTTTCTGTCTCTGTAGATTTGCCTGTTGTGGATATTTCATATAAATGGAATC